ACCAATGGCCAGGCAGTGGTGGCACACGCCTTTAAGCACAGCAAAAAGTACAGTGATGAGCTGGGCGGTGGTGGCGCATGCCTTTACTCCCAGCACTCGGGAGGCAGAGGCAGGTGGATCTCTGTGAGTTCGAGACCAGCCTGGTCTACAAAGGGAGTTCCAGGACAGGCTCCAAAGCTACAGAGAAACCCTGTCTCGAAAGAAAAAAAAAAAAAAAAAAGTACAGTGATGGCCTGCAGGGTGTCTGAGAGCTGCCTACTTACCTTCATTTTCTAAGTCCTTCAAATCTGAGGAATTTTACAAGAAAGTAGACACCTTCCCCATGCTGGGTTCTATTTCATCAAACTTGGCCTAGGTTTGGTGACCTGGTGTATATATAATACAGGTCACTAAGATATACTCAGTGGAACCTCACCCGGTTGAGGAGCAGGCTGGACTCCGGTTCCTCAAGCCAACCCGCAAAAATAGCCAAATACTGGCAAGGCGGGGCCTGTCTTGGCTGGTGGATCCTGGACCAAAGGAGCTCAAAGATAAGTAAAGATATGTAAAGTGCAATTTAAAGCTGGGGGTGGTGGAGGATTGCTCAGTGGGTAAGAGCAACTTACCTGGCAGCTCACACCCAGCGTGTCGTAACCACTCCCCCTCTACCCCCCGCCCCCGGAACTAGGTGATTAACGACCTGGGACTAGTAGAAAGACTAGGGACTTAGAGACTGAATTTCAAAGGACCTACCTCAAAAGGTGAGCGGCCAAGGCGAGCCACCCCTTGCTTCGGCCAGGCCACGCCCACACCGCCACCGGCCCACTTAACCAAAAGGGTGGCAACCGATCCCAGCCTCGCCCCCCCGACGTCACGACCAAGGCCAAGGGGGCGGGCTCCACTCTCTGCAGAAGCGAGAGGCTAGACCCTGGCCCAAGTGGAGCTCTCTAGGACCGCTGGGGACTAGCAGGTAGCACCGCCGCCCGCGGGATCTACAGTATGGTCGGTCAGTGGGAAAGGGGCTCTGGTGGCCAGAGGCTCAGCTGGCGGGAGCGGGTATCCGCTGGAGGAGGGTGCTGTTAACACGAGGGCGGCTCAGCAAGCCGGGCTGAAGGTCTCCTGGGGAGGGGAAGCTAGAGATGCCCTCGTCACCCAGCTGTCGGCATCCACGTCTCCTGGCCGAAAGGGACCATAGATTCCGAGACTCGCTAAGCTGGCAAGGGCTGTTTCCAGGTTGGAGGGGGCCCTGGGGTTGCTGGGTGCGGGCTCGGGAGTCGCATAGCTGAGGCGACATGGTCTCTAGTTTGACACCTCATCCCGCGCTCGGTCAGGATGGGCAGCAGCTCGCTGTCAGAGGACTATCGCCTGTGCCTGGAGCGCGAGCTGCGGCGGGGCCGCGCGGATGTCTGCGGCGACCCCTCGCTGCGCGCGGTGCTCTGGCAGATCCTGGTGGAGGACTTTGACCTGCATGGGGCGCTACAGGACGACGCGCTGGCGCTGTTCACTGACGGCCTGTGGGGCCGTGCTGACCTGGCACCTGCCCTACGCGATCTGGCCCGCGCCTTCGAACTCCTGGAGCTGGCTGCCGTGCACCTGTACCTGCTGCCCTGGAGAAAGGAGTTCACCACCATCAAGGTATGGTTTGGTGATGTTCCTCCACTCTCTTCCTTGTCCAGGCTGTTGGGGGGTGCAGGTCCTCTACAGGGGAAAGTTCCGTGCTGAGGGGCTGTGGGCATATTGGGATGCATGCCCACCAGGGAGTCATTCACCTAAAACTCGCATTGTTGTCCTCAAAGTAGCCTCACTGTCCTGGTTGCTATGGAAATTCTAGGCTAGCCGTGGGTGGGAGGGTAAAGGAGGCACTTCATGTCCTGTGGTCATCCTAACTCCTCAAGGATGTGGACTGATCTGTTCAGTGGAGGCCGGGGACTAGAGCATGGACCTTGTTCCTGACTGGGTCCAGGTTAGGTGACCAGGTCCAGGGCTGACCTGTTTCTTCAGTCAGCTGATGGACCACCAAGTGGGGGCAGGGCTGCTCTGAGCTAATTTTGAGGGGGAAGGCAATGACGCCAGTGAGCACGTGGGCGAGGTAAACCTCCACTGGTTGTCATGGCAGCGTCTCCCCCTCCACACTCCTTTCTCTTCCTACCCCATCAGCTGCTGCTGGTGACAAGGTCACCTGAGATCTTGGAACTTTTCATTCATCCTTTCAGACTAGAGGCTCACCCACCAGTCCTTTGAGGACAAGGCAGAAGGAGCTTGGCCTTGAAAGAAGCTAGTTCTGGGATGGAGTGGTGCGGGCTGAGTCTCCTCATCGTGGGGTTCTAGCTAAGTTACCTATTCCCACTATGCCCCTTTCCTTGTAAGAGGCCATGAGAACAGTCAAGGTGCTAAGCCCTGAGAAGGATGTGGCCAGTGCAACTTATGTGTCCCCGACCTCTTCTTAAAGGGTCCATGCAGGGAAGTGCTCCAAGGTTGCCTAGAGCTGTAGACTTCCACATTGGGAAAAGACCCAAAGTTACCCTGATGCTGTGGTTTCACAGGAGCTTTGCTCTCAAAAGGACACTCCCATGTGTTAGCGTGGTCCTCTCCCTCTGCTGCACATCAGACTGGAAGACTACACAGCAAGGGGAGTGAGAGCAAACCGCCTGGTCTGAGAGCGAGAGCTCTCCATGGTTCATAGCGGGGAGGCTGACAAAAATAAGGGTCAGAATAGAATTTAAGAGGCTGACAACTGGGTGTGGCAGAACATTCCTGTAGGCTGAGGCAGCAGGATGGTGAGTTCAGGGGCGGGCGGGGGGGGGGGGGGGAGAGAGAGAGAGAGAGAGAGAGAGAGAGAGAGAGAGAGAGAGAGAGAGAGAGAGAGAGAGCGCGAGAGCTAGCTAAAGGGCTAGGGATGTGGCTCCAGTGTCAAGTGTTTGCTTAGCATACACAAGGCTTTCGGTTCTCCCCTGCAGGGGGGTTGAGGGGTGTCCAAGCTCACTCCAGACAGATGAGAACATCTCTGGGGGTGAGCAAACTTCTGAAGGGGACAAAGGTCAAGGCAGTACCAAGCCCCTCCCTTACAGACCTTCTCGGGGGGCTATGTGCATGTGCTGAAGGGCGTACTCTCTGAGGAGCTCCTGACCCGAAGCTTCCAGAAGATGGGCTACGTGCGCAGGGACAACCACCGCCTAATGGTGACCACCCCACCCCCTGCCTGCCAGCTGGTTCAGGTGGCCCTAGGCTGCTTCGCTCTTCGGCTGGAGTGTGAGATCCTAAGTGAGGTGCTGACCCAGCTGGGCACAAGTGTGCTTCCGGCTGAGGAGCTGCTCCGAGCACGACGGGCTAGTGGGGATGTTGCCTCCTGTGTGGCCTGGCTACAGCAGCGGCTGGCCCAGGATGAGGAGCCCCCACCCCTGCCTCCCAGGGGCACACCTGCGTCTTATGGGGCCCCAGTGGACCTGTATCAGGACCTGCAGGAGGACGAGAGCTCAGAGGCCAGTCTGTATGGTGAGCCCTCTCCGGGGCTGGACACACCCCCTATGGAACTGGCATATAGGCCACCACTCTGGGAGCAGAGTGCCAAACTGTGGGGTTCTGGGGGCCAGCCCTGGGAGCCCCCAGCTGATGATCTGCATCGGGCCAGCAGCCCACCATATGGGGCCCTGGAAGAGGAGCTAGAGCCAGAACCCTCTGCTTTCTCCTTCCTCTCTCTGCGCCGTGAGCTGAGTCGCTCAGGGGACTTAGCTACCCCTGATGCCCCTGGGAGTCCTGGGCAGGCCAGCCCCCGACACAGGCAGGCAGAAGGAGCACCAGCCTCAGCCTATGGGCCTGCGGTTGAGCCTCTAAGCTACCAGGCGCACAGCTGCTTGAGCCCTGGTAACCTGCCCACCCTCTGCTGTGACACCTGCCGCCAGTTACACGCTACCCACTGCACGGCCCTATCAGCCTGCCGCCCAAGTCATTCACTGCGCATACTTCTCGGTGACAACCAGAGACGCCTGTGGCTGCAACGAGCACAGGTGGATACCCTGATCTATGACAGTCCTGCGGCCCATCCCTAGGCCCAGAAGGACCCCAAGACAAGAGTTTGGGGAGACAGTTTCCACGGTGCTTCTTTTGGGAAAGGGCCTAGGCCAGTGGCTGCCCTGGCCCTCCTATTCCCCAGGGGAGTTCAGTACCTACAGTTGGAATGTTCTTGCGTGGGGCTGTATCAGGCCCTTCACTGACATGCCTGCCCCGCATTTCAGTCCTGTCTACTGCAGGCCCTGAGCTGAATCAACCCTCTTGTTCCTATCCTTATGCCCAGATGTGCTGGGTAGAGAAGTCCAGGTTGTCCATGTTACAGTACCCAAACTCACTCCAAGAAGGACCCCACCCTGCTCTCTACCTGCTCCCTGCAGGCTATGGTTCAGGATATGTCCCTTTCTCCGTGTGCTGAGAAATCTTCACCCAGGGGCTTGCTCAAGAGCCTGTAGACACCTAAGTTAGATTTGGGCCATGTGGGAGGTTCTGACAGGGGATAAGTCACTTAGCTGAGAGGCTCCCTGCTAACCCCTGCTGTTAGTAAGGAGCCTTGCAAAAAAACGGGCAACGGGAGAAGCTCTTACCCCTCCCCCCCCATCCAGCAGAAATGGTTCTCAGCAACCAGCTGTCTACCAGCCAAAGACGGGGTGAACATTACAGGCCACCCGTTGGGATACTGCCAAAAAGCATCTCACTGCCCCATGTAGCTCCTTGAAGGCACACAGATAACCAGAAAGAAAGAGTTACACCCTCTTTTCCCTTGGCGATAGCCCAGGCCCCCCCACACACACTGGGCTCCCTATACCAAGAACCCACAGGACAGTGATGATGAAGGGCTGGGCTTTCGTCAACTCCGAGGAACCCCGGGCACAGCATTGCTGCTCTGAACACCTCCTCTACTGGCACCCCTCGGCCATGGCTGTTCCTACTCCTCACTCCCAGCCCCTCAGAGGACACTGTCCATGCTGCATGGATCAAAACCCCAGAGTACATTAAAGGATTGTGAAACTGTCTATTGGAAAAGCTTTTTATCTCTCCACCCCTGGAAAAGGAGCCCGCCAGTTCTCTCTGTGGGCACATCCACCAAGGGCTCTCCTTCTGACAGTCTAAAAAGAGTTCTATCGTGGCCCCAACCAATGCTTACTGCCTCCTTCCCACCTGAAGCCCCACCATCCCTGCCCAGGGTCACTATAGCCTGTCCTGGGCAGCTCCTAGTGACCAAGCAGGAACAGTATGGTCTCCTGGGCCTGCTCATCCAGGCTAATGCCTTGCTCCAGTTCAGCACTATACTGATTTGGGCCTTTGGACCTCTCAGCTCTATCTAGCACTGCCTCCCCAGAAGCATGTCCTCACTGACAGACAAGGCTGCCAGGAGCTAACAGGCCACCAGATGATGCTACAGCAGCCCAGTTTATGCTGGGTATCCCCACTGAGCAACATCCCAGTTCATAATCTACTTGCATCAGGGCAGAGAGGATAGCAGAGAGGAGTTAGCTGAAGAGAGGATGTTAGCGGGAGGGGACAAAGGCATCTTGGCCTGGAGGGCCCTCCCAGTCTGCTGCCTGATGATCCATGAGGATGTGTAGGGATGGCCGGACCCACCGTCAGGGCTTGCATCGTTTGCTCTGTCCCTCAGTGGCAGCTGGGGCAGCACGCTTATTGCGGTGGTGGGGGAAGGTGGGCATGAGTTCCGGCTCACAGGCTGCATGAGAAGGGATAGTTTCGGTGTTGGCTTAGAGAAGCGGTTCCTGGTGGAGCACGCTCCAAGTCTAGATGGGACTAACCTTCCATCTGCTTCCTTCCTTCTCCCCTGTGGAGTCTGTTCACATTCCACCCACACAAACCTGCATTGGGAACCCACCGAATATGGACAAACAGGGCTTTCTGTCTGTCAAACCCCCCAAAGAGGAGAACCCAAGGAGATCTGCAGAACTCACGTAAGGGCTTCTCTTTGAAGTAGGAGCTCTCCAGACAGTCCCCCGCAGTTGCCCTGAAGAATGACAGTGACCGTTGGCTTCAGAGAGGCCTATTTCACTCAAAACACAGCCAGGCTCAACAGCCCAATTCTACCTCCAACAATTGGGGGCTAGAGGCCTAGAAATGCCAGGCAGCTCAGAATGGCTCTAAGTCCTAAGTCACTCAAACTAGACACCCGGCACTTAGGGCACATCTGCAGTCTGTGTTATGAGAAACCATCTTTAAGAGGTTTGTTGAATTGAGATGGCTCAGTGCTTGCCTAACATACGCAAGGCCATAGTTTCCCACGCCCCACACCATAAAACATAAATTAAGGATCTGGGTTTAAGGTATTCTTCCATCTTGAAGTCAGGGCCCTCTCCTCCTGAGGGGTATGGCCCATGGAGCTGCCTAGAGGAAGGGTCTGTACCTTTTCTTAGGGTCGTACATGAAGAGGAAATTGAGCAGACGAAGTCCGGCCTCTGAGAGCCACGGGAACTTGTGCTTGAGATTGTTGTAGGGCTGTTTCCTCAAGCTGTATTGGCCAGCCAGCGGCAGCTTGGAGAAACCCTGTAAGAGGCAGGGGCTGGAGCTACAGCGCCACCAGGCAGAGATGGGAATTGGGAATTGTCTGCAGTACCCACCGGCCAGATATTCTCACTCGGTGTCCCCAGCAGCTGTACAATCAAGTCGATCTGGTGGATCTCAGAGGTGCCAGGGAGAAGGGGCTTATGGGCCAGCAGCTCTGCCAGGATGCAACCAACAGCCCTGCAGAAGCAGCCAATCTCTGCTTAGCCCCATGTCAACGTACTCGTGAAGGAGGCATAAGGCTCTCCCACCAGGTCTGCCGACGCTGCCAGATGCCAGCGAGCACTCCAGCTATGCTCGCATGCTCCCCTAGGTCCCAAGGTCAGGCTCACACCACAGCACCAATCCTGCTCCCCCTGTCCCAGGGCTACCTCCAGGGCCAGGTCACTTGAGGACCCAGGAGCAGAAACTACTCCTACCACATGTCAATGCTGGTGGTCTGGGTAGTCGTTCCAAGCAGCAGCTCTGGGGCTCGGTACCTGCAGACAAAGGCCCCATTTTATTTCTGGTCAGCGCCTCTCCTTCAGTCTGAGCTCCCTCAGGGTCCCCGGTGGCCTGAGTGATAGGGTCACTACTCATAGCCTGGACTAACGGCTACCCTAAGCAGGAAAGCCCCCACGTCTATGTTACAAGAATCAAGAGACCATCAGCTTGTTTCAGGCCGAAGCCAAAAAGACATGTAGCTGAGGCCATGTAAGGGTCCTGATGAGAATGTGCGGGACGTCAATGCCCTGCCCTTTGCCACAGCCCCATTCTGCCCTAGAAACAACCACAGAAGCTACCCTTCCCTTCCTGAGACAGAGACAGACTACAGCTGTTTTAGTGCAGGACAGCATTTCTTTCTTTGGGTTTTTTGGTTGTCGTTTTTCGAGACAAGGTTTCTCTGTGTAGTCCTGGCTGTCCTGGAACTCACTCTGTAGACCAGGCTGGCCTCAACTCAGAGATGTGCCTGCCTCTGCCTCCCCAGTGCTGGGACTGAAAGTGTGTAAGGCCCTTTTGCAGCATCTGCCTCAACTACAAAGGGCCCCATGGAAGGCATACCCACTCCTACAGGCCACCACAGTTCAAAAGGAACTCACCAGAGGGTAACAACCTTGGGAGTCATCGGCTTTACTGGAACACCATAGGCCCGGGCCAGGCCAAAATCCGCTGCAGTAGGAGAAGAGGAGACAGAGTATCACTCAGTGAGGACAGACAAGTTGCTATCTGGAAATAGTTGAATTAAGATGGCCTGGGGCTAGGAAGACAGACATGCCATCTCTGGCTTCCACACTGACATCCCCTACCCCTACAGGCATGCTCAAAGAAACCCAGTCCCACATATGTGGGCTCGGCACCCAGCACCCACCTGTCTTTACACAGCCCTTATCTGTCATGAGCAAGTTGGACACCTTCAGGTCCCTGAGTAAGAAAGAAGGCATTAGTTTTCCAAGCCAAAGGGCAGCCATGCTGTCACCACAGCCCGACACACTTTCCTGCCATTGAACGAGGTCTTCTAAGCTCGAGAGGGTGGGGAGTAGTAGGGGACTGGCTAGTGGGAGGCCAGCAACCTCAGTAACTGAGCGAGTAGAGGCCAGGTCTCCATGCCTGCTGCCGCCTCGCCCATAGGCTGCTCCACACAAACGGGTTCCCAGCTCCTGGCCTGAGACTCACTGTAGGCAGGTGCTCTCTCTGCTGACGGCTTCTGGCTGCTCTTCTATCACCCACCCACCTTCTATTGCCCAGAGATATGAGGGCTGCTCGGGCTTGTTTGATCCAAGATCCTCGCCCAGGATCAGTCAGAGAATTTCTACTGGGTGTTGGCTCCTCTCCTGAAGATATTCAGAATAAGGCACTGTGGGAAGCCAAAGCTATTCCTGGCCCTCTCCCTCCCTCTCCTCAGACACCTCCAACACACCTTCCTCCTGGTTGTCCCTGCCCACCTGTGGATGATGAAGTTCCTGTGCAGGTACTGAAGGCCACGGAGCACCTGGAGCACGATGCATTTAACCTAGGAGAGGTTCAGAAGCACAGGGTGGAGAGCTTTGAGACTCTGCCTGGCAGTCACCAGCAGCCTGCCAGGAGTGTGGCTGTTGCTATGTCCTGCACAGCTAAGACAGTACCAGTACGCAATGCACTTATTTGTTGTATATGTATGAGCATGTGACACGCGTGTTTGTGTACGGGTGGGTGTGTGCACCTGTGTGTGAACATAGGAGGTTGACGTCAGGTGTCTTCATCAATTGCTTTCTACCTTACATACTGAAGCAGCATCTCTCTCTTTTTTTTTTAATGGCTGGAGAGACAGCGTGGGTGCTGGGAACCGAACTCTTTATATTTATGGTTGTGAGCCTAGCCTTTAATGGCTGAGTTGAAGCAGCATCTCTTATTTGAACCTAAAGCTGGCCAAATTTAGCGAGTTTAGCTAACCAGCTTGCCTGGAAATCCTGTCTCTACTACCTGCCTAATGCAGGGATTATAGGCAGGCTGCCATGCCCACCTACCATTTATTTATATGGGTGTTAGGGATCCGAACTCTGGTCCTCACACTTGTATGCACACAGGCACTTTTTTTCACCCTCTGAGCTATTTCTCCAGTCCCCTTTTCCTTTCCAGTAGCCTGACGTGTGGACTGAGAAGACCTGGGTCCCCAAGTTCCCACAGTACACCACAGGGAGTAATTCAACTCCTTAAGGCGCTAGATGCTGTGAAAAAGACAGCAGGCAACACCATCCATGTCCAGCTGTCACATTCAATATGGCTACCCACCAAACAGCCAGCGAAGAACCTCCCTGACACACCTGGGCCTCGGAGAATGGTGTCGGCATATTTTCCAACAGACTGGCCAGATCTTGCTCACAGTAACCCATCACCAGGAAGATGCTAGAAGGAAGAGAGAAAACACATGCCACCTTCTGTTTCCCCCCTAGTGGGTAAAGAGCTCTGTGCCTGCTGGAGAAAGGCCAACCCCACGAGAGGGACCCTTGGGGTAGGACAGCCTCAGGAAACCACACACCTCTCCAAGTGGTTGCCCACAACCACCTCCTTCAGCTCCACAATATTTGGGTGACGGAGACGCAAGAGCAACGTGATCTCACGCAGGCTGCTGATGGGAATGCCTGTAACCAAAAGGGCTCGGTGAACTCGACTCCACCACACCTGGGACCCCATAAACACTGTCCCCTACAGTGGAAATTAGTGCTACCAACACCGTTCTTACTCCAGCATTCATGGATGCAAGGCAAGTGGGCAGGGGTACCAGTCTTGTGGAGGGTGGCAGTGAACTCACCAGAGGACAGAGGGGGCGAAAGGGCTTGGAGAGAATGTCCAAGTTTACAGTTAGCCAAGGTAGGGAAAGTCTGGCAGGGCTGAGGAGCTCAAGCCCCGGCTGCAGTGACAGGCAGGGCAGTGACATGCGGGGCCAGCCCCTTAACTGCTCTGCACACACCCTCAGAAGAGTTCAGTCCTGAGAAACCACAAGTAACCAGGGCTTTCCTCCTCCCTCCTGTGGTAATGCCCCAGGCAGGGGCTTCTGCACCCCACTCCTGGCTCACCATCCTTTTCTTTGTCCATCCGCACCTTCTTCAGGGCAACAATTTCATCTGTATGGGTATCCCGGGCCCGATCTGAAACAGAAACACGTGTGTAATGGAGTCTACCTCAAACTCTCCCCCAGCCCATCCTGCCACGCGGGAGCCTCCTGGGCTTCTCTTCTCTGACAACCGAATGCCCAGCAACTCTCGGCCCTTCCTTCACCAAGATCTGAGCTTGGGGATCCTCACTGGTGCTGGATGGGGGTGGGGAGGGGTTTCCAGTTTAGCTCTGAGCTGGAAGCTGGCTCCCAGCAATTCAGCTGGTAAGGAGCTCTCCTGGGGCTTCTCTTTCTCCTGCAGCCCACTGCTTTGTGTTCTCTTGTGCTAACTCTAAGAGCACTTCAAGTGCTCTATCTAAGAGGAAACACTTACTGTATATGATAATGGCTTACAGAGTTTTGTTGACTTGTGCAACTTCCAAATACTAGGCAAAATGACTCTCACACCCAGGGAGCCGCAAGGAGCTTTCCGAAGCCGTGCATTTTATTGGCCGGTTATCCCCACTCCTCCCTCATGTTTGGATTGCTGACACCGACAACCTGATGCTTATGTTTATCCAGTCATGGTGGAAACCACACCGGGAATTCAAGTCTGGGAGCAAGCTTTGGAGCGCAGAATGTGAGCCGTCCCTTCCTAGCACAGCTGTGCCTACACACTCCTTGTCTTGACCACTCACACACAATGCCGTAGGTGCCCTCGCCAATTCGGTTCAGCTTCTCAAACTCCTTAACGCTCCGGCATCTTCCCAGCTGAAAGACAGAGGAGTAGCCAGTGTGGGGATCTGGAAGCTAAATAACACAAGCAATGATGAATCTCCCCCATGCCTGGCACTGACAGGCTTGCTTGCCTCTTGCTCACCAAAAAGAAAAGCGACCACATACTTGGAATTTCCTGATGAGCAGAGGGAAAGAATGACACTGGAACCACTTTGAAGTGCTGAAGGTGGCCTTAATGACTCCCTCCACCCCAGCGTTCCAGATGTCTGCTGTCGGGTAACAAATGGCCACAAGCCATGTATACAAACACCCTGTGGAGAGGGAACCTGCCTCCAACACGCAGTCCCAACTTCCTTGTGGGAAAACCTATCCAGGGGTATTCATTTGTGAGGTCTGGGAAGGGACCTCCAGATCAGCAGAAGCTAGCTGACCTACTTCCTTTTGTAGGCTGGGATGAGGATGGGGGTCAGGTGGAGCAACAAAACCAACTAGGTAGCCCACCCTATGAGAAGCAGCTGCCTCTAGAATTTTAGGGGTCAGAGAAATAGCTTGCTTGAGTCATGGTATTCTGGGGTCTTAGTAGGGATTCTGTAACCTAATACATCTTCACAGTGCATTGCCTTTGTAGGTGGAGTAAATATAAGCATTTCTTGGTTATAGACCTCATCAATGTTAGGATTCTGTTATGCCAGTTCCCAGGTGGCTTTGCCCCCCGCCCCACATCAAGCTCTTCTCTATTGAAACAGGGTTTCTCTAACAACTCTGTAGAGTTGGCCTCAAACTCACAGAGATCGGCCTGCTTCGGCCTCCCTAGTGCCGGGATTAAAGGTGTGCGCCCCCATGCTCGACCTGGCTTCCCTTCTCTTAACAGCCCTGACCTGTGATAGTTGATGCTTTTCCATGATCCACTCCTTAACCCCTGTCTCATAGTCCTCTCCCTAAGCTTACTGTCCTAAGCTTCCTGTCCGCTCTGCATGTCCCTCCACCGGCGTGTGGCATGAGATTCCTTGTCAACGCTGTCGAAATTCTGGCTACTTTCCTGGTCCAAACCAAATGTCAACCCTTCTACAAGTCTCTTATTCTATTATTATTATTTTAGTTTAGTTTAGTTTTTCGAGACAGGGTTTCTCTGTAGCTTTGGAGCCTATCCTGGAACTAGCTCTGTAGACCAGGCTGGCCTCGAACTCACAGAGATCCGCCTGCCTCTGCCTCCCGAGTGCTGGGATTAAAGGCGTGCGCCACCACCGCCCGGCTATTCTATTATTTGCTCGCTTTTGCGGTCTCACTTCCGTAGCCCAGGCAGCCCTCCAATTTGGGATGATCATCCTGCCTCAGTCTCCTGAGTACTGGGATTACAAGTATAGGCCACCACGCATACTTGACATTTTTGTACAATTATTGTACACTATTGTGCGTATTCTCCCCCTTTAGGAGATTTCGCAACCTCAGCTCCCAGCACAGTGCTCTGAAGCTCTTAGGTAGTGAACTTAAGTTCATGTGCCTTGGCCTTGCAAACCACCGTTTGCTAAAACATACGCGGGCTGCTGCAAACCTCTTCCTACCAACAGTCTACTTGAGCCCAAATCAGGACTCCTAAGGTTCACCTTCCCCATCACACAAAAGAGACTATACCGAGTGTGGGTAAAGCAGACCGGTAAACAAGGTGACAACTCCCGGCTGCAGGTGCCACCGGAACGCCCCATTCTTCTCTCCGCAAAAACTCCACGCCCCACCCCGCCGCCTCACCCGAGTTCGCACTCCTTCGGATCCCACCCGCGTGCCCCGTCCCCAGCCGCCCAGCTGCGGATTTCTGCACACGCCGCAGCCAACTCTGGGACTGACATCCCTCCGATGCCGGAGCCTCAAACTTTAAGGCGACAGTGAGCCTCAGAGCGCTCCAGTCCGGCCCTGCCACAGCGCCGCCCGAGTGGCACCCCGTCGCACCCTGTGTTCTGGAGGCACGGTGAAGAAACCTTCCTTACGGATGTACTTCAGTCGGATCTGATCCGACTCTAGGTCCACCTCCGCCATGCCGAAGCCCTTGCTGCTCCACCGCCCACTTCCAGCGCGCAGGCGTAAACCGCCCATCGGCGCAGGCGCATAACGTACTTCCGGTTTATCTTGGCCCATCACCTAAGCATTCCCTAGAGGACGTCCAGTCTGGATCTGCTCGTGGCAGAGGTTCCGCCCTCTTTGCGGCGTTAGGTGCAGACACGACCCCGCAAAATTGCTCAAAGTACATCCCTGGTTCTGATCAGCCGAAGAAAACGCTTTCCTTTCCTATTTCCCACTTAAGTAAGACCAGTTCCAGCAGATCAGCTATGCTTTCTGCTCTTCAAGGAGACCACTGCAAAAGAACTTTGCTTTTTCACAGGGGTTAGGTACATTGCCCGAAAACTGGCTCTGTGGGAACCCATCTCTTCCTGAGGTCAACCTTGTCCCATCACTAGCCAAGGACAAGACAGATGAAGTCTTGCGCAGGAAGAGGCATATCATCCACAAGGAAATAAAGGGCCGCTTTCCTGTTCTTTCTACTCCACATTTACCTTCCTGGTTGAGGGAGAGTTGTGTGGTTTGGGAGACATCTGGGAAGGAATAGCAGTACTGGCCACTGGAGAGCAATGCCAGCCCAAGAGGTTCCGTGAGGCTGCTCAGCTCTGAACACCATTGTCTCTAACCCCTAATCTATCTTTGTATAGATTAGGAAAGCGAATGTTCCTGCTTCTCAGTACCCAGAGCCCAGGCCCATGTGGGCACAGTACTTAGGTCAATGCTGTAGTGTGTGTTTGGACGCGGGGCATATGCCTGTAATTCCTGTAATAGGAACACTCTGGAGGCTGAGGCCAGAAGATTCTGAGTTCCAAACTAAAACAGGTTACATAGTCTGGTTATCTCAAAACAAAAGACGACTTTCTTCAGTAACCAGTCTCTAACTTTTTTTTTTTTTTTTTTTTTTTTTTTTTAGTTTTTCGAGACAGGGGGTTTCTCTGTGGCTTTGGGGCCTGTCCTGGAACTAGCTCTGTAGACCAGGCTGGCCTTGAACTCACAGAGATCTGCCTGCCTCTGCCTCCCGAGTGCTGGGATTAAAGGCGTGCGCCACCACTGCCCAGCTAACGTATTTTTTTTAAAAGTGAGATCTCCGCCACATTGTTTGCCCTTTTACATTTTTTTTCTAAAACTTTAAAAATTGTTTTTCTCTGGGAATGTTGTCACAAACCTGAAATCCCAGTAGTTGGGAGACTGAGACAGAAGGATTGCTGTCTCAAGACTGACCAGGACTACATAGTGAGTTCCAGTCCAGACTGGATTGGATATGAAACCCTAACCCTGTCTCAGAAAACAACCACACTGGGACTGCAGCTCAATAGGAGAGCATCTGCCCAGCACCGTGTGAGGTCCTAGGCTCACTCCTCAGCACCACACACACAAATCATTTTTCAAAGTCACTTAGGTTAGGTATATGAAGATATATATTGTCAGGCCTGCAAGTATGTACTAGCTAGTATAGTCTACATATTTTATATACTAACTGGTCTCATGTATATATTAGAAACTGTTGGCATGTGTAACAGGCGACAGATCCCCTCGCCCTAGTACAGGAGAAGGTGTGTTTGTGATCCTGGTAGGCATATCACTGTCTCTGCTTTTGTTAGCCTACAGAGCCCAAACAATATGGCAATTAATGAAGATAACACACTTCTACTAGACCACATATAAGAAAGGAGGCTGGTAGGGGCATTCTCTCAAGACACAGCCTGACCCGAAGTTTGCTAGGGTGGAGTCGACTGAAAAAATGGGACATGTTTGGATTCCTAGTGGCCCTTCTCTATAAAGTCCCTTCATCCATGGGCCAGAAAAACAAGACAGCATTCACAAGCTATAGCCAAGTGCCCTGCTGCCCTCCTCAGTTCAAGGACACACTACATTTTTTTTTTTGAGTCTTTAGTACAGACAGCCAAGCTAGTGTCCCACAAGCCCTGAGGCCTCTCTGCTCTTGAACTTAACAGTTCTCAGACTGACCTTTGCTGCAGACTTGGGGGGAATGCCATTTACTCTCTGAGCCAGCCACTTTCTCCCCATCAAGCTGCTGAGGACTCTGGGAAAACTCAAATAGGCGCTGAGACAGAACCTCAAGGACTGGAGAAGGGCATCCAGTGCCAGCACAGGGAAGGGTGGCCCTTCCACAAGATCACAGGAAACAATCACAGCTCCTGGGAGTTCTCATTTATTCTGGGTTGTGTCCTTCATAGGCTGCTATTGTGCTGGGGCTCCTGTGCCGGTAGTAAGGGCCCCAGTCAGCCTGTTCATGAATGGTTCTCTGTTCTTCATTTTCAGGGAGGCCATAGCTGATTAGCGTCTCATTTGAGGCATGGGTGATGATGATCTGCGGAATGACATTTCTCTTCTTGCTCGACTTTTGTTTTGTATCAGATTTGTCTAGAGGGAAGAAAACATCCATCCATTTAGTGGGTGTGTGGAAACTTCTTCCACAATGAAGATAAGGCCTGTTTTAGCTCCCGGTAACGGAAACAGATTCATGGCCAGTAGGAAAAACAAAACCAACTGCCTGATGGTTCAATTCCACCACTCAGACAGATTGACAGCTTGGAGGGGCGGCTGTGAGTACTGGGTAGACTCATGCCGGAAGAAACAGAGGAGACTACATTTCACAAGCTGCAGGATACCTCCGGGGTGATGAATACAGGCCACGAACATTCTTTTGAGTCTTTAATACAGACAAGCTAGGATCCCACCACCCCCAAGGCCTCTCTATTCTTGAAATTAACAGTCATTTTTTTCTAGACAGGGTTTCTCTGTCCCAAAACTCGATCTGTAGACCAGGTCGTTCTCGAACTCACAGAGTTCTGCCTGTGTCTGCCTCCCGAGTACTGAGACTAAAGGTGTGTGTCACCACCACCTAGCAACAGATACTTCTAAGACTAGCATTGTCTCCAGACTTGGGGACATGTCATTTACTAACTTCCAAGTGCTTCCACCACACACCTTCATGAGCAAATGAACAGAGAGTACTTTAAATGCCCACCTGAGTCACAGTGTGAGCTGCCGCCCGGTGACCTACCACTGCACAGCTGGCTATTCCCGACACACACGCTAGTCAGACCTTCAGGATCTCCAGATTTACTGTCTGAACCAGCCACCTTCTCCCCATTGAGCTGCCTGGTCAGAAATGTTAGAGGGCTCAGGTGCCTAGTCTCCAAAGAATTCCAATTTGGAAAACCTTTCTGTTCAGAACTTTATGAATCAAAATGTTCTAGAAATAGGCATTCCTGAAGGTTCGTCATCTCATAATGCTTTGTCTGGGTAGTTTTTATTTTTCATTTATTTATTTATTTAAATGTAAAGTTTTTTTTTACATATTTATTTATTATTACACAGTGTTCAGTCTGCAGGCCAGAAGAGGGAGCCAGATCAAACTACAGATGGTTGTGAGCCACCATATGGTTGCTGGGAATTGAACTCAGGACCTCTGGAAGATCAGTCAGTGCTCTTAACTTCTGAGCCATCTCTCCAGCCCTATTTATTAACTTTTAAGGTAATATAAAAAGCAATGGATTTTATTAGGGCAGCTTCACACATATAGAAAGGTTTATTTTGGCTCATAGTTGTATAGGTTTCAACTTATGACCACAGGGCCTAGTGGCAACATCAGAATACCATGTGACAAGGGAGATATGCTCACCTTGTGGTGACTGGGTACCAAAGGAAGACATGGATAAGGTTGGGACCCAGAA